AAACCATCATCGGCGAAATCAGAGTCTTAACAATATAAATCGTTGATACGCGAGTTACAACTATTCAAAATAGGTTACTCTATCGTGACTTCGAACTCTACCTGAACTATTACGTCGAAGACGGTCGAATACCATCTACTAACTCTAATGAATCTTTGTTGATAACGTAGGTCGCGGGGCCCGTATCGGATCAAGGAGATTCATACTCGACGTTAACTGAAGAGACCTTGGGGACTTCTACCTTTTTAGCTGTTAGCCGAACTCTGAACTCTGCGTAGTGTACTCTCGTGATCTGATATACATCCCTCACCGTATATTGTTACTCACAGGTTCACTTGGAGTAACGAAGTCACCTCAAAGAAAAGAAACTATCATCAATATCTCCTATCACAGTGACTACCCGAAAGGATTATTTCATAGACACCTCGGCCGTAACTGACGAGGTCACAGAGGACGCTATTGTACTGTCCACGGCTGCTAGCCCCGATCCCCTACTCCAGGGAGGACCCTCTACACAAACTAGGTCAACGAGTAAATGCTCTCCTACAGCCCAGTTTACGAGGAATATGCAGGAGATTTTGGATACCCATGAGGCACAAATGAGGTATCTTGGTACAGCTGGACAGGCCGTTTGGCAGCAGCTACAAAATCTCCAGGAACAAGTGCAAGGGAGTGGCAAATCCTGGATAAGAAAGCACGGCAAGAAGCCATTACCTAAAAACAACACCTCGAATCTGTGAGGGATGCGTACCAGACCACAAGAGTACACTATGCAGAGCTCAGAGTTCGGCTAACAGCTACAAAGGTAGAAGTCTCCAAGGTCTCTTCAGTCAACGTCGAGTATGATTCTCCTTGATCCGACACGGGCCCCGCGAGCTACGTTATCAACAAAGATCCACTAGAGTTAGCGTGTGATGTTCGACCATCTTCGACGTAATAGTTCAGGTAGAGTTCGAAGTCACGATAGAGTAGAGTATTTCCAAAAGTATAGTCAAATAAAGTCGTAACTCGCGTATCAACTATTTATATTGTTAAGACTCTGATTTCGCCGATAATGGTTTGGCTAGTCAGTGAATGACACAGTATTTATATCCCTCGCTTATGTCTCGAGGACCCAGTCTACTAATAATACAGAATACACTCGGGGCCTGCCCGAGACCCTGAAAAACAACCAAGAACATTAACTCCTAAGTCCGTAACCCAAACTCCTAAACCCGCAGAAACCGCTCAACCTATTTACCCATTCTAATGCACGTTTCCCTGTCGATGTGTCTTCTCCATCGGCCGTCTGGTGGATAATCGTCAGCGTCGGCTATTCGGAGGTCTCGGACGGCAAGGCTACCTATTCAGGCCTCTTCCCACATCGCTTTCCCACATAGCAGAGTCCTCTCATGCCCACAGGTACCGCCGATAGGTACTCAGTCGGCTGGTAGATTGCGCCGATTCGCTCCGGGTGGTCCGATCTTCGATCCGATTGATTCCAGCTGTCCCTCATATATCCACCGGTCCAAAAGTACTCCCCTCCGGTGGTCTGATGCTCCGGGGATTATTATTGCGGTCGAAAACGTGTTTTTTAACTAGGAAAACCGCAACTCCGCGTTTGGTCGCATATCGATCGCACCACACCTCGTGGGTGCGAACCGGAGTTGATAGTGGTGTTGCCATTAGTATCAAAGGGTATTGGGGTATCTACTAGCCTTTCTCTCACTCCCGTCAATGCTTGGCATGCCCGTAACAGCTTACCCCCCTTCCAGGGTGTCACATCTCGGGACATCTTCTGACAGACTATGGTTCCAGTAAACCTGCTCCACATATCACCCGCGGTGTCTGTGGAGGGGAAGGACTTAGCCCCGTAGGGTACCTCTATAGTCTCAGGCATTGGTCCTTCACGGCCTTGGGGTTCCTTCGATGAAAGTCGCGGACTAGATCAAGTATGTCTTCGTTCATAACGTCCATGACTTGGTAAGTACAGTCGCTCATCGAATAGCCCCGCCATTTCAACAGGTATTCCACTAATCCTCTTCTGCTCTTCCGACTTCCCACAATACTTTCCACTTCATACAGAACCTCTCCTTCCTTATCGACCTCTTCGGGAGTCGGGGGACGTTGTTCACGGCCTGGGATACTACTCTGTCGGTAACGTTCCAAGAGTTCAATATGGAACACATTATGGATTTTGACTTGTGGTGGTAGTTCCAATTCACAGGCTCGTTTTCCGGCTAGTCGGACGATTTTGAACGGACCGAGTTTCTTATGATCGAGCTTTTTGGTGGAACGACGTGTCTTGATATTGGCCGCATTGAGCATGACCATGTCGCCTATCTTAAAGTTCGGCGGTTCGTCCCTTTTCTGATCATAGTATTTCCCCATCTTCTCCCTGGTATCTGTTAAGCGAGCGAGAGCAGAGTCGTGAACTCCTCGTATGAAGTGAGCATACAGGTCACTTGTTGGGTTGACCACTTCGGCTTCCGTCGGCCAGTTGGTTCTTGGATTGTAACCGTAATTGGTATAGAACGGAGATTGGCCGTGGCGGTGGTGACCGAGTTGTTGTAAGCATACTCCGCCAACGGGAGTAGCTCTGCCCAATCATCTTGCTCGTAGTTGCAGAACGCTCGCAGGTAGTGCTCGAGGGTTTGATTAACCCGCTCTGTTTGCCCATCGGTCTGAGGGTGGAAAGCCGTACTCATTCTTATCCTCACGTCCAATAATTCCATAAGGGATGCCCAAAAGCTTGAAGTAAACTTGGCGTCCCTGTCGGAAACTATATCAAGAGGCAGCCCATGGAGTCGCCAGATTTGACCGAGGAATATCTTCGCTAAATCTTGCGCGGTCGTTTCTGCTACTAGGGGGATGAAGTGCGACATTTTCGAGAACCTATCGACTACTACCCAGATTTGATTGTATCCTTTTGATTCCGGTAATTGCACGACGAAGTCCATTGATATCGATTGCCAGACAGAATGGGGTGTGGACAGTGGTAGAAGCGCACCGTATTTCTTATGGCGGCTGGGTTTGTTGCGTTGGCACTCGTCACATGACCGAACGTAGTCATCAATCCACTCGTTCATTTTTGGCCAATAGAAGTTGCGCGTAATGAGTTCCAAAGTTTTATCTTGTCCAAAATGTCCTGCCACCTTCGAGTGGTGTTCTGCCTGTGCGATTCGGATCTTGATACGGTCGTCTGCCGGAATGTAAAGTCGGTTCTTATAGAATAGTAGACCGTCTTTCTCAGCGATATCCTTCAATTCCCCCAGCTTCTCCCCTTGCTCAACTCTCTCTGTCAGTCCTACCCATGTCGGGTCTCCCGATGCCGCCTGGCTGACATGATACAGAAAATTCTTAGACCAGTCAATCACCCCCTTGGAGGCAAGCGACACCGCTGATACCACAAACTCTTCCTCCGCCAACTGTCCGGGCTTAAAGAACCTGTCTATCGGCTGTTTCCCAAGCGTGCCTCCCCCTTCAGGACGGTACTCCGGCCGTCGCGATAGTGCATCTGCCTTCCCATTTTTGGTTCCCGGGCGGTAAATAATCTTAAAGTCAAATTCCGCCAAAGACTCAGCCCACCTTGCCTGTCGTCGGTTAAGAACCTTGGTTGTTGAAAAATATTCCAAGTTCTTGTGATCCGTATAGACGAGAACCGTTCGGCTAGGTCCTTCGAGGTAGTGACGCCATTGCTTGAAGGCTGACACAATTCCCAACATCTCCTTATCCCAGACGTCGTAGTTGAGTTCCGCTGGGTTAAGTTTTCGAGAATAGAAGGCAACAGGGTGAGTCTTTCCGTCAATAACCTGGGATAGAATTGCGGCGATAGCAAAATCACTTGCGTCCGTTTCCACGATAGTCTGGCGATCTGGAGAGAAGTGTACCAAGATCGGCGCAGACTTAAACAGGGTTTTGAGTTTTTCGAAGGCTGCTTGGGCCGTCATAGACCAGACAAAGTTCTTAGCATCACCCCTGAGACAATCGGTAATGGGTTTACAGACCCCGGAGAAATTGTGGATAAACCTTCTGTAGAAGTTGGCAAAGCCCATGAAGATCTGTACTTCTTTAACACTGCGCGGGGCTTGCCAATTCGTAACAGACATGACCTTATCCAGTGCCATGGTGACGCCTGCTGGGGCAAGGATGTATCCGAGGAACTCGATTTCGGTGAGCTCGAAGAACGATTTCTTCGGGTTGGCGACCAGGTTGTATTCTTGTAGCCTGCTAAGTACTTTGCCGACCAGCTCCCTGTGTTCCTCTCGAGACTTGCTATATATTAGGATATCATCAAGGTATACTACTACACCTTGATCCAGGAATTCCCTCAGCGCATCATTCATCATATTCTCGAAGGTCGCCGGCGCATTTGCCAGCCCAAAAGGCATGACGAGGTACTCAAAATGCCCGTACCGGGTACGAAAGGCTGTCTTCCACTCGTCGCCGTCTTTGATCCTGATGAGGTTGTAACCTTCCTTCAGGTCAATCTTCGAGAAGATAACCGCGCCTGCTACTCGATCTCGCAGCTCGTCCATAAGCGGTAGTGGATACCTGTTCTTGATGGACACACGGTTAAGTCCACGGTAGTCAACGCAAAGTCGCAGACTACCGTCCTTCTTCTTCACAAATAGGATTGGGGCTCCCGCTGGGGATTTGCTCGGCCTAATCTTTCCCAATCGCAACATTTTGTCCAGGTACTCCCGAAGCACCTTCAGTTCGACTTCGGATAGGGAGTAAACGGGTCCCCATGGTGGCTGCTTTCCTGGCTCGAGATCTATCGCATGGTCGTAAGATCGATGCGGTGGTAATTTGTCCGCTTCCGATGGTAGGAAGACTTTAAGGAACCCATGGAGCCAAGAGGGAAGAGTTTCACGGAGGTTGACCGATTCATCTTCCAAAAGACAAATGCTACCGATGAATTGAGCCTCCGGATCGTCCAATACACCCTCGTTCATTTCTATTTGAGGTTCCTTGTCAGTGAAGCATTGACTCTTACAGTTCTTACCATCTTAGGAAACTTCCCCATTTGCCCCTATAACCGGTTTGTGTTGTTTCAACCACCAGTTCGGTAGTATCGCATCGATGCCAGGCGGGAGAGGGGCGATCTCGAATGATAGTTGCGTTTGATGCCCCCTTGACATTATAATTAATGGTTGTGTAAAGGCGTGTCCCGTGCCCTTCATAACTTCTCCCGTAAATCCAAATACCCGGGCTGGGACGTCTCGTTTCACCTTCGGGACCTCAAAACTATCAACAAAAACAGCAGACAAAACAGGACCAGTTGCACCAGTATCCAACAACACCTTACAAGGTAAACATTTTTCCGCAAAAGAAAGGAACTGATTAACGATAGGTCGAGGACCATGAATAGGTTCCTCCAAAATTTTCTGTTTTTTCTCCGGTTGGGACGCTCTCCCTTCCTGCCTTTTTCTTTTCATATTTTTTTTGTTGTTTTCCGTCAGTGATAACATAGCAATCTGGGGATACTCCTGACCTGACTCATCAGAGTCCCCTTTTAACAATCCTCATCGAAATCCATCTCAGATTCCGATCCGCGTTCTCGCACAAACGCTTGCCCATTGGTGTACTCTGCCGCAGCCATAGCAGCCGGCTTCCTAGCACGGTGCCTCATTCCTTTTTTCTGAGGTTGGGGTTCCGGTGGTTCCATGTCGTGGTCACCATCGTCATCGCGGGTACGCTTTCGGGAGAAAGAGGAGATAGATGCACTGCTGTTAGCATCTGAACGACACCATTTCCAAAGATGACCCTTTCGGCCACATCGCACACAGGCTCCATCGGTCTTTCGCTGTTCTCGGACCGGCTGTGGAACTCCTTTGGTGGCTTCGTCGTAGTCGTGGTATATTGGCTTATTCCCTGACTTGTTCTTGCTGGTGCTCTTCTTATCTTGCCCTTTTTCTTTCTCCTCAGTCTGAGCCCTCCCCTTGATCTTGAACCCCTTCTCCTTCTGCCGCGAGTTCCCACCGTTGTTCGATTCCCTTCCCTTCGACTCCACTTTCCCCAACATCTTCATCTGCTCTTGATAAGCCTCGTGAGCCTTGCCGGCTCGTTCCAACTGTTGGATGTACTCGGAGTCGTCATCGGTTGGATCGAAGCGTGAGTGGCGCTCCCGGATTTCATTTGGTAGCCCTTGGAGCAGGGCGGCACGATAGGATGCTCCTTTCATCTGAGCATGCTGGTTCATGATCTCCATTCTCGTCAGGTAGTCCCCGATGTTAGCAGAGTACTTAAACTGCTGCATCTTCATCGCATTCTCCATAGCCTCCTGCGTGCTTAAGAAGCGTTTCCTGATCTCCTGACGGAACCGAGTCCAAGTAGCGTAGTCTGCGGCTGCTGGTCCTAGCATCTTGGTCTCGATGTACTCCATAAACCATTTCTTCGCCAACCCACACGTATATGTTCCAGCGAACAGTACCTTGTTCCTGTCCGTTCGGAATTTCTTTGGTTTCTGCTCAAAGTAGATCTCGCACTCCATGAGCCAATGTCGCAGGTTATGCTTCCGGGCATTATCGAACTCAAAGGGTATTTTGGCGAGCGAATCTACCATATCCTCGTCTTCAGGCGGCGCCGAATTCCGGTTCCCGCCTCGGTTCGTTCTCCAGTTCTTTCGACCGTACGACCATTCACTGTTATCGTCGTCATCGTCGGCGGCAGGTTCTGGGTCTCCCCCAACATTTCCTCTTGGTGGGTTCTGGGGAGGTTGATTTCCACCATTCCCACCGACGGGGGCAGCTCTCACCGGTTTCCTGCCACTATTTCCCCCTACGGGACCAGCATTTCCTACTACTGGGCCAGCATTTCCTGCTACTGGGCCAGCATTTCCTCCTACTGGGCCAGCATTTTCGGGATTCTTGCCATTGCCAACAGGAACCGTTTGGGGTGCATTAGGGTCCAAGGGAATACTCACCATGGAGGGCACTACCGACAAATGTTGTCGTAGACGTTCATCCATCTCGGCTATTCGTTGGTTTCTTATGTCATCAGACTGCTTGAATTGTGCCAACAGTTCTCGCTGTTCCCTTTTCTCCTGCTCTCGCTCTTCTCTTGCGACTCTCAGCTGTCGTTCCGCCTCCAGCAGTTGGTTCTGGGTAACTCGATGGTTGCGGTCCAGAACCTCGTGGTCGGCGACTCGTGCGGCTTCCTGTTCTTGTCGAACATTTTCGACGAGCTCAAAGAGCGATTCGAGATGTTGCTTCTGGGCGATGGCTTCTTGTCGTACTTTCTTGTCCAGAATTTGCCCACTTCCTTGGACTTGTTCCTGGAGGTTTTGTAGCTGCTGCCAAACGGCCTGTCCAGCTGTGCGAAGATACCTCATTTGTGCCTCATGGGTATCCAAAAACTCCTGCATGGACCTCGTAAACTGGGCTTGAGCAGAGCGTTTACTCGTTGACCTAGTTTGTGTAGAAGGTCCTCCCTGGAGTAGGGGATCGGGGCTAACAGCCCCAGATAGTACCATAGTGTCCTCTGCGGCCTCGTCTGTTACGGCCGAGGTGTCTACAAAATAATCCCTTCGGCCAGCCATTGTGGTAAGGGATAATGATGATAGTTCTTCTTTTTTGAGGTGACTTCGTTACTCCAAGTGAACTTGTGAGTAACAATATACTGTGAGGGATGCGTACCAGACCACAAGAGTACACTACGCAGAGCTCAGAGTTCGGCTAACAGCTACAAAGGTAGAAGTCTCCAAGGTCTCTTCAGTCAACGTCGAGTATGATTCTCCTTGATCCGATACGGGCCCCGCGAGCTACGTTATCAACAGAGATTCACTAGAGTTAGCGTTTGATGTTCGACCGTCTTCGACGTAATAGTTCAGGTAGAGTTCGAAGTCACGATAGAGTAAAGTATTTCAGAAAGTATAGTCAAATAAAGTTGTAACTCGCGTATCAACGATTTATATTGTTAAGACTCTGATTTCGCCGATGATGGTTTGGCTAGTCAGTGAATGACACAGTATTTATATCCCTCGCTTATGTCTCGAGGACCCAATCTACTAATAATACAGAATACACTCGGGGCATGCCCGAGACCCTGAAAAACAACCAAGAACATTTAACTCCTAAGTCCGTAACCCAAACTCCTAAATCCGCTGAAACCCCTCAACCTATTTATCCACTCTAATGCACGTTTCCCTGTCGATGTTTCTTCTCCATCGGCCGTCTGGTGGATAATCGTCAGCGTCGGCTATTCGGAGGTCTCGGACGGCAAGGCTACCTACTCAGGCCTCTTCCCACATCGCTTTCCCACATAGCAGAGTCCTCTCATGCCCACAGGTACCGCCGATAGGTACTCGGTCGGCTGGCAGCTTGCGCCGATTCGCTCCGAGTGGTCCGATCTTCGATCGGATTGATTCCAGCTGTCCCTCATATATCCACCGGTACCAAAACACTCCCCTCCGGCGGTTTGACGCTCCGGGGGTTATTATTGGGGTCGAAAACGTGTATTTTAACTAGGAAAACCGCAACTCCGCATTTGGTCGCATATCGATCGCACCACACCTCGTGGGTGCGAACCGGAGTTGATAGTGGTGTTGCCATTAGTATCAAAGGGTATTGGGGTATCTACTAGCCTTTCTCTCACTCCCGTCAATGCTTGGCATGCCCGTAACAGTTTTACAGAAGCTTAGGGAAGCTGAGCTCTGTGCCTCGATCAGTAAGACATCCTTCCATGTCCGAGAAGTAGAATACCTAGGCTATCACATCTCGGAAGAAGGAGTATCTATGTCAGAAGACAAGGTGGAGGCAGTTAAGGAATGCCCGGTCCCTGAGAATATCAAGGCAGTACAGGCATTCCTCGGATTTGCAAACTTCTATTGCCGCTTTATTGAAGGCTTCAGTAAAGTTTGCAAACCATTAACTGACCTCCTGCAAAAAGACAAGAAATGGTATTGGACGGCAGCACATGAGCAGGCCTTTGAAGAACTCAAGAGGCTGTTCACAAGCGCTCCAATCCTCCTTCATTTTGACCCTAGTAGGAGAACGGTGGTCGAGACAGATGCCAGTGATTTTGCCAAGGGAGCGGTGCTCTCTCAGTATGGGGACGATGGAAAGCTACATCCGGTGGCATTCTATTCTAAGAAGTTCTCCCCTGCCAAGATCAACTATGACATTGATGATAAAGAAATGGGAGCTATTGTAGGCTCTTTCCGGGAATGGGAACACATGCTCAAATCTTGTGAGCAAGAAATCACGGTTTTTACAGACCACAAGAACTTGGAGTACTTTAATTCTACCAAGGTTCTCACTAGGCGGCAAGCTAGATGGTCTGAAGACCTCGCAGGCTACAATTTTAAAGTTGTCTACAGACCGGGAGAAAAGAATGGCAAGACTGATGTGCTATCTAGGTGCTGGGATCACCGCCTTGGAGAGGGAGGTGAAACTCTGCAGCCGGAGCCACAGATCATTTTTAGGCCAGGTCAATTGGTTCTGGATCCTGCAAAGCTAGCGGCCGTCAGGGTGAATCAATTGCAGAATACATTCTTAGAGCGCCTATATACGGCTGCTAAGGAGGATAGTTTCTGGCAGGAATTGTACCGCTCCCTGGTTGAAAGGAAACCAAATTTGGACCAGAACTTATCGGTCAAGAACGGTCTCATCTTCTACAAGAATGGATGGTATATACCCAAAGACAAGAAGCTTCAGATGGAAATACTGTCCGATACCCATGACTCTAAGGTGGCTGGTCATTTTGGCCAATTTAAGACACTTGAGCGGGTGAAAAACAACTTTTTTTGGCCCAACATGGATAAGGATGTTGAGGAATATGTCCGGAGCTGTGACAGCTGCCAGAGGAATAAGACCTCAAGACATAAGAAGTTTGGTATGCTCGAACCGTTGGAGATACCCTATCGGCCATGGACTTCCATCTCTATGGACTTCATTGTGGGACTACCGGAATCTAGTGGGTTTACAAAGATCTGGGTAATAGTGGACCGCTTTTCAAAAATGGCACACTACATCCCTCTTCCTACCCTCAATAAAACGGGAGATTTGGCTAAGCTGTTCTTGAAGGAAGTTTGGAGACTCCATGGTTTGCCTGATGACATAGTCTCGGACAGAGATAGCAGGTTCATTTCTCACTTTTGGCAATCTCTCATGTGTAAAAATATGGCATTGCGACATCAGGTTATGTATGGTAATTACTCATGTATAAGGGATGACTCATAGTTGGAACAAGGAGGCTTAGGGCTAGGATTATGTAATCAGGGGATCACGTGGTACTAAGAACTATCTGTATATAAGGAGCAACAAACTCCCAACAATTGTCGCTGGAACTCAGCGGCGCAATAGTATCTTCTTTGCACTATAAACATATTCCTCACAAAGGTCACGTGTTCAAACCCTCCTCAAGTCGTCTATTCTCCCACACTCCAATTCACAGGTTATGAGCCCGGGTTCTGCCAAATAGAATCCGCACTACACCATCGCCACCTCGCTTAACTCAACAACACTTCATACAACATCATGCCTTCAGGTGGAGAATCGTCATCCAGTGCTGCTGAGACTAAACCCTCAGAGACCACAGCCACCAGTAACATTCGTCTCAAGTTTGATGGACTCCCTAAACTACAAGGGCAATCCAACTACCAAACTTGGGCGAGTGCCTGGAGGATAACGTTCGATGCTGTAGACTGGTGGGAAGCGTTGAGCATCGAGAACCCTGACGAGAATGACACCGAACTCAGCAAAACCGAGATAAAGAAGGCTCGTAAACAAATGCACAGCCTTCTCATCTCTGCTGTATGCGAAGAAATACAACCAACAGTCGTCTCCGCCGAAAATGCATTCTACGCATGGAAGGCGCTCAAAGATCTCTACGATCGTGTCTCACCCAACACCACGATCACCCTCCTCAGCCGCGTCCTAGACACGAAGATGCAAGAAGGCGGATCACTGACCGAGCATCTCGCGACCTTCGATGCGAACTGGAATACTCTCAAGTCCAGATGCCAAAGCGCAGACCACAAACTCGCTCAGGCTCTCCTACCCCTCACCAAATCCAACGAAGCAATGGCGGCATTCCTCCTAAGCTCGCTACCCAAATCGATGAGCAACGTTGTAGACAACATCCAGACCAAACAGGATGTTACCTACGAAGACGTACGCCAACGACTACAGAACCTGGATGAGGTAGCCCCTCAAACAGGAAACAAAGTGCTCCATACCAGGAGTACTACAAGCGACAAGGAATGCACCTGGTGCAAGAAAAGGGGACAGCCTTACAAAGGCCACGAGTACACGGAGTGCAGAAAGCTCAAAGAACAGAACAAGAACAGAAAGGGAAGGAGAAAGGACAACTCGGCATCGGTTGTAGTAAATGACTCTACAACCACTATCTGTATGACCAACTCATCGACATTCGACCTCACACCGGCAACGTCCGAACAGCTGATGGAACCAACCACGCTGTCACCGGAATGGGAAGCGCTAGTTTCAGCTGCCACCTTCCCGATGGAAGCAGATCTTCCATACTCCTCACCGATGTGCTGTTGGTCCCAACCTTGGGAAATATGGGATTGGTCTCCGAAACCGTGCTCGACAAAAAGAGATTTAGAACGGAGTCAGGAGGAGGAAGCAAGTTGGGTACAAAAGAAAAGAAAGGAATAATTTGAGCAAAATTGGAGAAGGGACTTTGGAATGTACAAGTAGTTAGCAATACAGTTCGTTTGACCACTTACGATGAATGGCATCAAGCGTTAGGCCATCCTGCGACACTAGAAAATTTGTATCACGACATTCAAAGGCTGCCTCCCAAACCAGAAAGTTTCCACTGCAGCCAATGTGCACTATCAAAAAACGTACATAAGAAACCTGCACCAATTAGTACTAGATCCAAACGACCATTTGAACTAATCCACTCAGACCTATCTGGAAAGTTCAGTATACAGTCACAAGGAAAAGCTCAGTACTATATGTCCTTCATCGATGATTACACCTGCTTCGCATGGATATACCTCCTGAAACAGAAAGAAGACGCAAAGAAGGCCATCAAGGACTACGTTACAAGAATCGAGAAACAGTATAACACAACAATACTGAGATTCAGAACGGATGGTGGCGGTGAATACATCAACAAGGACATAACGAACTACTTCGATTCACAAGGAATAGTTCATGAACAGACTCCCCCATACACTCCTGAATCTAATGGAGTTGCAGAACGATTCAACAGGATGGTAACCACAATGGTCAGGTGCATGATCATGGACCACCCTAAGTCGTTATGGGGAGAATCATACGCAACAGCTGTCTACCTCAAAAACAGGCTACCATACAGTACGCTTAAGGGAAAGACCCTTTGAAGCCCTGAAAGGAACCAAGCCAAGTATACAACACCTTCAACCATTCGGTAAAAAATGCTATGTCCACATCCCAGAAAACTCTAGGCCAGCAGGAAGCAAACTAGCACCCCGAGCGTATGAAGGAATCATAGTTGGATACTCAGACAGTAATAAAATATACCGTATCTGGATAGGAACACAACATAGGGTAATTGAAAGTCGGGACGTCACATTCCCCCCTCCTGAATCAGGGGAAGTCTCAGTGGAACTCGACTTCATCCCCAGCCTGAAACCAGAAACGGCAAATGCACCATCAGACGACGGATACGAATCAGAAGACAGGTCTGATCCAGAACCCGAGTCAAATGCAATCGAAGAGAACCGTACAGAAATGCCAGGATTGTTCCCGGAATCACCGGAACAGGTTAGAAAACCACCACCGGCTACACCACACAAGGGAAAAGAACCTGCCATACCTATGAGACAACCACGAGACCCAAGAGACAACTGGGAGAAAATTCCAGCACCAGTCGTACCATTCAAAGGATTCAAAGGAAAACCTCTTGCGTCAACGACACCCAAAGGTACACCACCACAACCTCCAAAACGATCAGATCGAATACGCCAGCGAAAAAATAGAGCAATTGAAATGGAAGTACGAAGGAAAGAGTATGACGAAAAGGTAGTAGAACAACAGAAGTTACTTTCAAGTTATATCGAAGATGTGAAAGAAAACGGCCCAGGAGACAAAGCCTCTGAACAAGAATTAATCGATCAATACAAAGAAGACTTCAGACGTTATAGGGCTGAGTTAGACACGGAATATCGAGACATATCCGAACTCCCCCCGAACTACCAAATACACCTCGTAACAGAACCTTCCACTTTCAATCAAGCTATGCAGAGCGACGATCAACACCTATGGAAAAAGGCGATACAGACTGAGAAAGACGCCCTTGACAAAGCCCATACCTGGGATATAGTCAACAGACCAACCAACCGAGCAGTAGTCAAAGGGAAATGGGTATTCAAAGTGAAACACAACGCGGACGGAACAATCGAGCGGTACAAAGCAAGGTACGTTGCTAAAGGCTTCACCCAAGTACAGTACCAAGACTACGATGAGACCTTCGCCCCCGTTGCACGATATGATTCTCTACGACTCCTACTGGCACTAGCTGCACACAACGGTTGGATACCACAACAAATGGACGTCAAGTCAGCCTTCCTGTATGGTGTACTCAAGGAGGAAATCTACATGGAACTGCCTGAAGGCTACAGGCAGGACAACAAGGTTTGTAAACTTCGGAAATGCATATACGGACTAAAACAATCACCCCGTGAATGGTATGCTTGCCTAGCAGACTCCCTTCAACGGAAAGGATTCGTCCCAGCCAAATTCGACCCATGTGTCTTCATACATAAGAACCACCATCTATACATATCGGTGTATGTAGACGACATCATGATATTCGGACCCGACTCCCCATTCAGAAAAGAAATCAGACAACTACTCAAGGCAGATTTCGAATGTACGGATCTCGGTAACTCGAAGTTCATACTGGGAATAGAAATAACGGTAACCAACAACGGTATCGCGCTATCACAACGCGCATACATCAACAAGATCCTGGATAAATTTGGAATGAGTAACTGCAAACCAGTTGGCACACCACTCGAACCGAACCTCAACCTTCACAAAGGCGAACCGGAAGACCAAATCGAGAAACCAACTGAGTACCAATCCATAATAGGATCACTGATGTACGCAAGTATAGTGTTACGGGCATGCCAAGTATTTACGGGAGTGAGAAAAAGGCTAGTAGATACCCCAATACCCTCTGATACTAAAGGCAACACCACTATCAACTCCGGTTCGCACCCACGAGGTGCGGTACGATCGATATGCGACCAAATGCGGAGTTGCGGTTTTCCTAGTTAAAAAACACGTTTTCGACCCCAATAATAACCCCCGGAGCGTCAAACCGCCGGAGGGGAGTGTTTTGGTACCGGTGGATATATGAGGGACAGCTGGAATCAATCGGATCGAAGATCGGACCGCTCGGAGCGAATCGGCGCAAGCTGCCAGCCCACCGAGTACCTATCGGCGGTACCTGTGGGCATGAGAGGACTCTGCTATGTGGGAAAGCGATGTGGGAAGAGGCCTGAGTAGGTAGCCTTGCCGTCCAAGACCTCCGGATAGCCGACGCTGACGATTATCCACCAGACGGCCGATGGAGAAGAAACATCGACAGGGAAACGTGCATTAGAGCGGATAAATAGGTTGAGGGGTTTCAGCGGGTTTAGGAGTTTGGGTTACGGACTTAGGAGTTAAATGTTCTTGGTTGTTTTTCAGGGTCTCGGGCGTGCCCCGAGTGTATTCTCTATTACTAGTAGACTGGGTTCTCGAGACATAAGCGAGGGATATAAATACTGTGTCATTCACTGACTAGCCAAACCATCATCGGCGAAATCAGAGTCTTAACAATATAAATCGTTGATACGCGAGTAACAACTTTATTTGACTATACTTTTGGAATTACTTTATTCTATCGTGACTTCGAACTCTACCAGAACTATTACGTCGAAGACGGTCGAACATCACACGCTAACTCTAGTGAATCTTTGTCGATAACGTAGCTCGCGGGGCCCGTATCGGATCAAGGAGAATTATACTCGGCGTTGACTGAAGAGACCTTGGAGACTTCTACCTTTGTAGCTGTTAGCCGAACTCTGAGCTCTGCGTAGTGTACTCTTGTGGTCTGGTACGCATCCCTCACAGAAGGACTGAGGCATCGTATTCTTTAAACATGTGAAGACGATGGTGGAATTCCTTTGGTACGAGTTGCTTGACGTCGGTGGTGGACTTATCAGCTACTGAGCTGACAACTGTATGAAATTCTGGTAAGGGGATCGATATGCCATGGACAGTAATCGCCTTTCCACTGAGTGAACAGTGTTGACAGCAGTTCCGAGAGTTAAAAATGAGTAGATTTTCCTTTGGTCGAATGGTAACATCATGTTGCCGCATCCAAGGCATTCCCATCACAATCGGATAGTGACTTAGATGGGTAACGAAAAACAAAGCAGTCTCCTGATGGCCATGGATATTTAATGAGAGGCGAGCGACATGGGTAATTTTTCCTGATTTGACTGGCCTACCATCGATTACCTCGAGTAGGCGTGATTGTAACGGCAGCTAGTCGGATTGGCTATGTGAGTTGTCTGGGTACAAGGGAGAAGGATTATGTAGTGTGGTTGGGTTTAGTAAAGCGAGTTTCTATTATGTTCTTTCTGTTTCTGTTATGCGAGGGTATGAGTCAGTATTGGGATAGGGTATGGATATATAAGGGGGGCGTTGTCTCGTGATTTCTTGTTTCTCTTTCTTTCTCTTTTCTCTTTACGCAACCTCTGTACTTTACAGCTACGAATACTATTTGGTTCGCGCTACGTCATAGGGTTTACCCGGTATACTAAACCAGGTATAACCACCCATAGTCCATAGTCCACAGTCCCCGTTCTTGCCTTAGGTGTACCCTTCGGCCCCATAGTCCATAGTCCACGAACCTCCTACGTCCACGTCTTCGCCTCGGTTGTATTCCTTGGCTTCATAGTTCCTACGTCCACAGTCCCCGTTACGCTTAGGTTGCGTCCTTTATCGCCAACCAATACAACACCACCACGCTTAGCTCTGGTCGCGACTATGTCCGACACCACTCAGGATACGCTGTTGCAGCGTCTTTCAGAATTTCTGATCACCTATGGTCCCCTCCCAGCCGATATAGACTTCGGCGAAGAACTTACGGAGGCTCATAGTCTTATTGCTGAGTGTTTGGAGGCTCTCACCAAGTCTCTTGACACCCCCGCGCCACTAGAACCCGTTATCGACACGGCTCAGGAAGAGGTCATTGCCGGCCTCACTACAGAACTAGAAGCAGCCAATGAAAAGGCTGCCGATTTTTGGCAAACCTTGTGCGATACCCAGGAAGATTCTACCGAAATCATCCGAGGTCGCGACGAGGTTATCGTTGCTTTGAAGATTGAGCTGGAGGAATCGAAGGTTGAAGAAGAAGAGCTTCGGTTCCGTCTGGCACTACACCAGGAAAGTCTCGCCACTGCCGACGAGAACCTCGCTGATGCTGAAGATGAAATTCTTCACATCACCTCTGTTGCAAAAGCTTGGGAAGTTCAAGCCAATGCCACTATTGCCGATCTTCGCTCCCGTGTCCCCGTTTCTGCCGCTAGAGTCAAAACCCAATCTCGCCATGTTTCCAAGTCTCGCTACCTCACCCCTCGCTCCCAAGACCCCCGTACCATCAACAATTGGCGAGAAAAGCCAATTGAACAAGTGTCTCAAAAGCCGGCGTTAAAAGGTCAGCCCCTTTGGTAAAAAATGGCAAACCAAAGGGGCCAGCCCCGCCACCTGTTTCTGTTCTCCCTGCTGCTGCTGTGTCTGAGGACGAGATGTCCGAAGAATCTCTTGTCGTTACCTGCTCAGTTTCTCAGAATCCTGGCTCTGTTATACCCACCTATGCCCTTATTGATACCGGAGCCTCTGGATATGCTTTTATTGATGAATCTTTTGTACGCCATAATAATCTTACAATGACACACCTTAAAGTACCTCGTCAGGTAGATGTTATGGATGGGAGGCCTATCGAATCAGGAAAGATCACCCATATTGTCAATGTGTCGCTGGATATCCATGGTCATCGGGAAACTGCATCATGTTTTGTTACGAAGCTAGGACACTATCCAATTGTGATGGGAATACCTTGGATGCGACGTCACGATGTTACGATTCGGCCGAAGGAAAATCTACTTGTTTTTGACTCTCAAAGCTGTTGCCAACACTGTTCATCCAGTGGAACGACAGTCACTGTCCATGGAATATCGATCCCTCTACCAGAACATCATACTGTTGTCGCTTCAGCAGTTGAGAAATCCACCGTCGACGTCAAGCAACTAGTACCAAAAGAGTTCCACCATCGTCTCCATATGTTCCAAGAATATGATGCTTCAGTCTTTCCACCATATCGGCCGTCACATGATATTGAGATCGTATTGGAGGAAGGTAAACGACCACCGTACGGACCGATATATGGATTATCCCAGGTTGAATTGAAAGCACTACGAGAATACCTTGACGAAAATCTACCTAAGGGATTCATTCGAGCCAGTGAGTCGCCACCGGGAGCACCCATACTATTCGTAAAGAAAAGTGATGGGACCCTTCGGCTTTGTGTGGATTATAGAGGCCTTAATGCAATTACGATTAAGAATCGCTATCCGTTACCATTGTTAAAAGAAACCCTGGCCAAGCTATCAAAAGCGCAATATTATACCAAGCTGGATCTACGTTGGGGATATAACCAAATCAGGGTCGCCGAGGGAGACGAATGGAAGACGGCGTTCAGGACTCGTTATGGACATTTCGAGTATACTGTAATGCCGTTCGGATTAGCTAATGCCCCTGCCACGTTCCAACACTGGATCAATGATATTTTACGACCATACCTCGACCAATTTGTGACAGCATACCTAGATGACATTCTTATCTACTCGGAAACCCTGGTGGAACACAAAGAGCACATTCAAAAGGTTTTGAAGGTACTTGATGAGAATCATGTTCACCTTAAGCCTGAGAAATGTGAATTTATGGTCCAAGAAACGAAGTATCTCGGCCTTATTCTCACCCCGGATGGGAATAGAATGGATCCGAAGAAAGTTATCGATGTTTTGGAGTGGTCCATACCAAGGAATCTCCATGATGTTCAAGTATTCCTGGGATTTGCGAATTTCTATCGGCGTTTTATTTTAGGATATTCAAAAATTGTTGCTCCGCTCACGGCTTTGACCAAGAAAAATGTTAAATTCGAATGGACGGATGAGAGGGAGGAGGCATTCCAGACATTGAAAAAGATGTTCACAACGGCACCCATACTAGCGCACTTTGATCCGAATCGGAAAATCGTAATAGAAACTGATGCATCCGACTATGTTTCTGTTACGGGCATGCCAAGCATTTACGGAAGTGAGAAAAAAGGCCAGTAGATACTCCAATACCCTCTGTACGCTAATGTCGTCTCTGGACCGCACTCGCGGAGTGTGGTGCGACCAATATACGATCAAAACACGGAGTCATAAAAAACACGTTTTCGACCCCAATAATAACCCCCGGAGCGTCAAACCGCCGGAGGGGAGTGTTTTGGTAACGGTGGATATATGAGGGACAGCTGGAATCAATCGGATCGAAGATCGGACCGCTCGGAGCGAATCGGCGCAAGCTGCCAGCCGACCGAGTACCTATCGGTGGTACCTGTGGGCATGAGAGGACTCTGCTATGTGGGAAAGCGATGTGGGAAGAGGCCTGAGTAGGTAGCCTTGCCGTCCGAGACCTCCGAATAGCCGACACTGACGATTATCCACCAGACGGCCGATGGAGAAGAAACATCGACAGGGAAACGTACATTAGAGTGGATAAATAGGTTGAGGGGTTTTAGCGGGTTTAGGAGTTTGGGTTACGGATTTAGGAGTTAAATGTTCTTGGTTGTTTTTCAGGGTCTCGGGCGAGCCCCGAGTGTATTCTGTATTATTAGTAGACTGGGTCCTCGAGACATAAGCGAGGGATATAAATACTGTGTCATTCACTGACTAGCCAAACCATCATCGGCGAAATCAGAGTCTTAACAATATAAATCGTTGATACGCGAGTTACAACTTTATTTGACTATACTTTTGGAAATACTTTATTCTATTGCGACTTCGAACTCTACCTGAACTATTACGTCGAAGACGGTCGAGCATCACACGCTAACTCTAGTGAATCTTTGTTGATAACGTAGCTCGCGGGGCCCGTATCGGATCAAGGAGAATCATACTCGACGTTGACTGAAGAGACCTTGGGGACTTCTACCCTTGTAGCTGTTAGCCGAACTCTGAGCTCTGCGTAGTGTACTCTTGTGGTCTGGTACGCATCCCTCACAGTATATTGTTACTCACAAGTTCACTTGGAGTAATGAAGTCACCTCAAAGAAAAAAAAAAAAAAAAAAAAAACTATCATCGTTATCCCCTATCATAATGACTACCCGAAGGGATAATTACTTCATAGATACCTCAGCCGTAACTGAGGAGGCCGGAGGAGAAGATTCTATGGTGATATCAAGGGCTGCTAGCCCAGACCCCCTAATTACGGGAGGACCCTCCACACAAACTAGGCAATCGAGTAAACGCTCTGCTCAAGCCCAGTTCGTGAGGAATATGCAGGAGTTTTTGGATACCCATGAGGCACAAATGAGGTATCTTGGTGCAGCTGGACAGGCCGTTTGGCAGCAGCTACAAAACCTCCAGGAACAAGTCCAAGGGAGTGGGCAAATCCTGGACAAGAAAGTACGGCAAGAAGCCATTGCCCAAAAACAACATCTGGAATCGCTCTTTGAGCTCGTCTCCAGTGTCCAACAAGTACATGAAGCTGCACGAGCCGCTGACCACAAGGTTCTGGAGCAAAGTCATCTGCAAACCCAGAACCAGTTACAGGAGGCGGAGCGACAACTGAGGATGGTGAGAGAAGAGCGGGAGCAGGAAAAAGGGGAGCAACGAGCTTGGTTTGCGGAATTCAAGCGGTCCGATGCGGAAAGAAACCAACGGATAGCCGAGATGGAGGAACTACTGCGACAACATCTGTCAGTAGCACCTTCCGTGGCCAGTGCTCCCTTAGACCCGAATGCACCCCGAACGGTTCCTGTTGGCAATGGCAAGAAACCCGAAAATGCTGGCCCGGTAGGAGGAAACGCTGGTCCAGTAGGAGGAAATGGAGGCAGGCAACCGGAGGATGCCGGCCCAGTGCAGGGCAATAGTGGCAGAGGACCGGTGGGAGCTGCTCCAGTTGGTGGGAATGGTGGAAATCAGCCTCCACAAAACCCACCAAGAGGAAACGTTGGGGGAGACCCAGAACCTTCCGACGACGATGACGACGATAACAGTGAATGGTCGCACGGTCGGAAGAATTGGAGAAGGAACCGAGGTGGGAACCGGAATTC